GAAAGATAAAGGCTTTTGCCCTGTAATGTGTTTAAAAAGCCTAATACTATAAAGTATTGTGAACTTTTTTATTCTGATGATTGCAGTTTAATTGTTAAACTTGCAAAATTTTGTAAAATTGTTCTGTCTGTTATAAATCAGATTTGCCTTCCACTGCAAGTTTCGTAAAACATGTACTTTACACCATTGCATATGTAACCATCTCATTCCATTCATTTCACTGTTTTGTATATATTTTATTGTTATTACTTTTTATATTCACATACCTCTGATGGGGTCTAGAGAAATAAAAGTTTGAAGTTTGACAGCACGAAAGTTCTCACCGACAACGGTCAACCAACACCCAACTTCTCCAGAAAAATATAGAAACAAAGTCAAAGACACCTATCAATGACAACACGTTTTTAGATCATGCATCCTTTAAAGACAAACCAGCATACCTTTTTTGTACTTATATATGATATTATCCATTTAATAAAAATAATCTGCTATATTATGTTACTGAATATGCCCGTTAAAGCTTTTACTTTATAATTTTGCTGTTTACACCATGCTGTCATTATAAGTAATTGGATATCCTGCAATATCATGCTTGTCCTAAACTAAGGGAAAACTTCTGAAAGACACACTTCTAAACTATTGAAAGCAATCATTTTGTGTTAACTATAATGATCATGGTGTAAATTAAATATACCACTATTAGACTAAAGCCCTTGGGAGTATATCTAGTACTTCATGTTTTGATATGATACTTAGTATGACAAGGTCAACCTTAGTGTGACAAGTTCAAACAAAAATTTTCACATCTAGAAGTGTTGACTTATTTCCTCTTTTTTAGTTTAGTTTTTAGTATTTATCTATATCAAATGTTTTTTTATTTAAAGTCTCAGGAAAAGATTAGTTTTTTGCTCAGAAATTCCCAGTATAAATCAGAATAAGTCAGAATGAATCAGAACTAAGTATTCAGTATAAACCAGATCTTGTCAGAATGAATCAGAACTTTCTACTATAAATCACAAGTTGTCAGAATGAATCAAAACTATCCAATATAAATCAGAAGTTGTCAGAATGAATCAAAACTATCAAATATAAATCAGAAGTTGTCAGAATGAATCAGAACTATCAAATATAAATCAGAAGTTGTCAGAATGAATCAAAACTATCCAATATAAATCAGAAGTTGTCAGAAAATATCAGAACTTACCACTAGAAATCAGAAGTTGTCAAAATGAATCAGAACTTATTTAGTATAAATCAGAACTTATTTAGTATAAATAGGAACTTGTCAAAATGTATCAGAACTTACCAGTATATTTCAGAATTTGTCAGAATGAATCAGTACTTTAATTTAGTATCAATCAGAACTTGTCAGAATGAATCAGAACTTTCTACTACACATCCGAACTTGACAAACTGAATCAGAACTAACCAATATAAATCAGGAATCGTCAGAGTGAATCAGAACTTAGCTAGTATAAATCAGAAATGTCAGAATGAATCAAAACCCACCAGTATTAATCAGAACTTGTCAGAATGAATCGGAACTTATTTAGTATAAATCAGAATATATTAATAACAAGTGAAACTGCGAGCTTAACTGCTCACTGATGATAACCCCATCGCAAGTGGATAATTTTAATAGTGTAAAAATATATAAGTGTTCGGTAAACAGGAAGTTGTTGAGTGATGAATCGGAAAAACATCACACGGTTTAGCTGACTTATATAAACCCTGAAACCAAATTTCAGAAATCCTTATGATGTAGTTCCTGAGAAAAATGTGACGAAAAATATTCATGGGACAGACCGACGGACGGACGGATGGACGGACAGGCAGAGGTAAAACAGTATACCCCCACTTTTTTAAAGCGGGGATATAATAAATCAAAACTTTTCAGAATAAGAACTTACCAGAATAAATCAGAACTTGTCAAAATGAATCAGAACTTGTCTGAATGAATCAGAACTTGTTTAGTATAAATCAGAAAGTGTCAAAATAAATCAGAACTTTCTACTACAAATCAGAACTTGTCAAAATGAATCAGAACTAACCAATATAAATCAGAAAGTGTCAAAATAAATCAGAATTTTCTACTACAAATCAGAACTTGTCTAAATAAATCAGAACTTTCTACTACAAATTAGAACTTGTCAAAATGAATCAGAACTAACCAATATAAATCAGAAAGTGTCAAAATAAATCAGAACATCTTTAGTATAAGTCAGAACTTGTTTGAATGAATCAGAACTTGTTTAGTATCAATCAGAACTTGTCAAATTGAATCAGAACTTATTTAGTATAAATCAGAAATGTCAGAATGAATCAGAACAAACCAGTACAAGAGTGCACATGCTGAAATGTCTCGCCTTCTTTACTAATCATTGATATTATGTTGATAGTCCTAAATATAAAGCTTTACTACAACTATCACATACACTTAACATGATCCAAGAAAATGAGGTCAAGGTCATATAAACCAAACAAGAAATACATGTACACCTTACAATCATTCAATACACTAAATATAGTTGACCTATTGTTTATAGTTTCTAAGATACAGACTTAACCAAGAAAACTAAACATTGACCAATGAACCAAGAAAATGAGGTCAAGGTCAGATGAACAATGCCAGGCAGACATGTATTACAGCTTGCAATCCTTCCATACAACAAATATAGTTGACCTATTGCTTATAGTATTAGAAAAACAGACCAAAACACAAAAACTTAACACTGAGCAATGAACCGTGAAAATGAGGTCAAGGTAAAAAAAACCTGCAAGACTGACAGGTACATCATAAGATATTTCCATACACCAAATATAGATGACCTATTGCATAAAGTATTAGAAAAAAAGACCAAAACTCAAAAACTTAACTTTGACCACTGAACCATGAAAATGAGGTCAAGGTCAGAAGACACCTGCCCGCTAGACATGTACACCTTACAATCATTCCATACACCAAATATAGTAGACCTATGGCATACAGTATAGGTAAAACAGACCAAAACACAAAAACTTAACTATAACCACTGAACACTGAAAATGAGGTCAAGGTCAGATGACACCTGCCAGTTGGACATGTACACCTTACAGTCCTTCCATACACCGAATATACTAGACCTATTGCTTATAGTATCTGAGATATGGACTTGACCACCAAAACTTAACCTTGTTCATTGATCCATGAAATGAGGTCGAGGTCAAGTGAAAACTGTGTGACGGGCATGAGGACCTTGCAAGGTACGCACATACCAAATATAGTTGAACTATTGCATATAGTATTAGAAAAAAAGACCAAAACTCAAAAACTTAACTTTGACCACTGAACCATGAAAATGAGGTCAAAGTCAGATGACACCTGCCCGCTAGACATGTACACCTTACAATCATTCCATACACCAAATATAATAGACCTATGGCATACAGTATAAGAAAAACAGACCAAAACACAAAAACTTAACTATAACCACTGAACCATGAAAATGAGGTCAAGGTCAGATGACACCTGCCAGTTGGACATGTACACCTTACAGTCCTTCCATACACTGAATATACTAGACCTATTGCTTATAGTATCTGAGATATGGACTTGACCACCAAAACTTAACCTTGTTCACTGATCCATGAAATAAGGTCGAGGTCAAGTGAAAACTGTCTGACGGGCATGAGGACCTTGCAAGGTACGCACATACCAAATATAGTTATCCTATTACTTATAATAAGAGAGAATCTAACATTACAAAAAATCTTAACTTTTTTTTCAAGTAGTCACTGAACCATGAAAATGAGGTCAAGGACATTGGACATGTGACTGACGGAAACTTCGTAACATGAGGCATCCATATACAAAGTATGAAGCATCCAGACCTTCCACCTTCTAAAATATAAAGCTTTTAAGAAGTTAGCTAACGCCGCCGCCGCCGTAGCCGCCGCCGCCGCCGCCGCCGGATCACTATCCCTATGTCGAGCTTTCTGCGACAAAAGTCGCAGGCTCGACAATAAATCAGAACTTGTCAAAATGAATCAGAACTAACCAATATAAATCAGAAAGTGTCAAAATAAATCAGAATTTTCTACTACAAATCAGAACTTGTCTAAATAAATCAGAACTTTCTACTACAAATTAGAACTTGTCAAAATGAATCAGAACTAACCAATATAAATCAGAAAGTGTCAAAATAAATCAGAACATCTTTAGTATAAGTCAGAACTTGTTTGAATGAATCAGAACTTGTTTAGTATCAATCAGAACTTGTCAAATTGAATCAGAACTTATTTAGTATAAATCAGAAATGTCAGAATGAATCAGAACAAACCAGTATAAATCAGAACTTGTCAAAATGAATCAGAACTAACCAATATAAATCAGAAAGTGTCAAAATAAATCAGAATTTTCTACTACAAATCAGAACTTGTCTAAATAAATCAGAACTTTCTACTACAAATTAGAACTTGTCAAAATGAATCAGAACTAACCAATATAAATCAGAACTTGTCAAAATGAATCAGAACTAACCAATATTAATCAGGACTTGTCAGTATAAATCAGAACTTATTTAGTATAAATCAGAAATGTCAGAATGAATCAGAACCAACCAGTATAAATCAGAACTTGTCAAAATGAATCAGAACTAACCAATATTAATCAGGACTTGTCAGTATAAATCAGAACTTATTTAGTATAAATCAGAAATGTCAGAATGAATCAGAACCAACCAGTATAAATCAGAACTTGTCAAAATGAATCAGAACTAACCAATATTAATCAGGACTTGTCAGTATAAATCAGAACTTATTTAGTATAAATCAGAAATGTCAGAATGAATCAGAACCAACCAGTATAAATCAGAATCTTGTCAAAATGAATCAGAACTTATTAAATATAAATAAGAAATTGTCAAAATGATCAGAACTTATCAGTTTAATTCAGAACTTGACAGAATGAATCAGAACTTATCACTATAATTCAGAACTTATCACTATAGTTCAGAACTTACCAGCAAAAATTCATACTCCTCTTCATCTCCAATGTCACACTGCACTGCCCTATCACGATGGAACATCATAGTCCAGTGAAACCAAACACTTTACAAGTCCTCCCTTTTTTAAAGTAATTTATAATATCACCACTTCCTATCAGTTTCAATGAACTCACACAATATGGTTAAATAATAACTGTAACTGATCATCCAAAATTTCAATCTTCTTAAAACTTGTGTAAATATTTGTTTAGCAGGTACGTGAAAGGTATATGCAAACAGCAAACCATCTCTAAAATGTTAATTTTGGCTAATTCCAATAAACTACATGAAATTCTCATTTCAGGTCACAAGTATTTGTTTTACTTATAGCCCAATATTTGTAAACTTTTGTAAATTTGCATATTAGGTTTTAAGTGATTTTGCAATAACTGTCCAAAATCAATTGCTATAATCACATGAAAAATATGACCAAAACATTTACCCATCAGTTGTCACTTAAAAATGGCAAATTGATATTAAACCGTTTACTAATGTCAATTAACAAGATAGATGACATGATTTTCTAATTAAGTTTTCCAGGTGATACTACAATTGTCCAAACAAAAACACATACTCAAGTATAGTAGTTCTAGAGCAAAGGTACTCTGAGTACCTGATGTGGTTTCCATTGATTAAAACACATTATGAAGAAAGATTGGTTATTCTGCATTGCTTGATTGTTACCTACAATTACTGGTATATGATATTAACTATTGGACCAAATGGTCCACTGGGACTGTGTCCTACTGATACACAATAATCACATCAATATTGGTCCATTGATTTTTCTCACTGTCACAATCACTTTCTATCTAGATGATGTACAAGTTTCAATTTTTCATATGAAATTCTGCAGATATGTCTGAATTATTCATTTTAATGTGTTGAAACTTTATCATACAACATTCGGAACACAATTAAATTTCAACATAGATTTCTCTAGTGTTCTGTGGCCTTCATTTCGTTCATCAATATACGTTTAAAGTCCATATAGGTCAAATTGATTTTTCCTTTTCTTTTCTCCTAGTTTTGAAAGTTTAAAAGTAAGATCCAAATTGAAATCATTCCAGTTTGCAATGTTAGAATTTTCTATCTTTCCTCGACTGCATTATGTCGTGTTCCCTAGTAAATGAATTAAATCCTGTCTCTCCATCAGATCTAAGGCATATATTTTCTCAATATTTTACAATTAAATTACGACTCAATTCAATTGACATAATTTGATTTTCACAAAAAAAAAATGTTCACCTCCAGAAAAATGAACTGATATTTTCCAAGCGCTTACTTAATAGATAAAAATCGATCTCTGAGATATTAATATGCAATATTAGCAAGTTTTTCACATCTGTGTGCTAAAAATTCCAAACTTTCACAAGATCAGCCAACAACATCACTTTAAAAAATCCCAAGTTAATACTACAGTTATTTAAAAACTCTTATTTGCATATGAAGAGCTTATCTTGTGCTGCTTTTTATTTCTAAGACGAAACAGTTTACATTGTAGACTCCAGTTTTATTACGAACAATAATTACAAGTACAAATTTCCACTACTCAAGAAATTTATTCTATTATCCCAAATGTTTATACCATTTGTTATAATGAACTCCAGTTTATCCAATGGTCGATGAAGCTACCATTTTCATTACATGTTTATAAAATGAAAGATGGACAAATTCCAAATTTTTTCTACCAGAGTAACTCAGTATGTATACACAATAAGAATGGGAGGAAGGCTTAAATAAGGGGTATCTTTTGTTCACGACATTAAACTCTTGACTAAATTTCAATAAAAACAATTTCTATACTTCCAATTAAAATTATAATTGGAAAAAACTTGACTGCATTAAAATATGAAATCGTAATGAAACCGTTTAAATTTCCAACACAAAACTCTTTACGACTATAGAAAGAAAACTAAAACTTCCAAAGGGGTAAAATAGATCGATTGTATACAAGTCTCTTGTATAATAAGTACAAAAGAATCGACCATGTGAAGAAAAAAAACATTGAGTAAGGTTACAATACTATAAAAGATATTTAGAAGCCAGTTAGTATTGGTACATGGTATAATCAAGATACACATTAAAGAATAACAACAAGTCGGATAATTGGTCAATTTATGATCAAACCCATAGATATAGTTGTTAATTTAGTAAACTTATTGATATGAGGAAGATTTCGTCCTATAAAACCATGATATAAAAACAAAGAATAAACACAATCTCAACATCTACCAGACTTTTATCTCTTATGTGAACTTCTTTTTCAACTTGCAGGAATTGTAAACCTGCACTGACCTCTTAGAGAGGGCATGAAACTAAAGACTAAACAGTTATCTACTTTCTATATGAACCGTTATCAATATAGGTTGATAGTTAATCTTTTTCCCCCTAAAAAAAACATTGTATGTACAATGTTATATTATGTGTTACAAAATAATATAGGCACAGAAGATTAGGGTTCTAGCAAAAAAAAAACTAATCTCAATGACAAGGAATCCACATTTACCTTTATGAATAGAGATAAAAATTAATGTTTGATAGGGTCACACCAAAATAATATGTGTTTAGGGTTTCCTCCTTAAGAAGAATAGGGTAGGTACATGTGGGTAAGAATTTTTTTCTTATTTTGCTAAATTTTTTTACACAAGTATGATGGAGACCAAGACTTGTCATTTGAAATAATTAGTTCCTTTATAATATTAGATTAAAATGGTAGAAATATTCTGGAACATTATTTTCACTGGAATAAATATTTACAATACTGACAAAATAAAGGGTTAGAATATTTGTTCAAATAGGAACAGAAATTATTAACTATGCACTGTTTATAACAGTTTCCAGTGGAACTTCTATTAGGTATAGGTTGACAGATACATTAACAAAAATGCCAATAAAAGCTTTAGGGATTGTACTTTGAAGCCTAGAAAAATAAGGAAGGTAGGGAAATTGATAATATAAGTAATTTTCATTTTGGTCTAGGCATTTCTCTTCCCCCTCCCCTTTTTCATTGAATGTATCAGTTTATGATTTAAAGTGGGTCCATAGTCTACTATCAAATACATGTACATACATTTGGAATCAAAATATACAGAAGCACAGGGTACCAGTGCACTCTCTTTAACATCTGTTTATTCCACTTTATGGACACTGGGACTGTTATTGGATAAGAAGTGAAAAACACCCATCTCCCAAGCAACAGACCATACTCTATTCACTAATGTATATTTGCATTAATGAACTTGTGTTCAACCAGAAATATGAACGGGGAAGCATATGTTTATATGGGAATATTATTTATAATCACAGCATGACAACATGAGAGTTGTTGTAAATATTCTATTGTACCAGATGTCCCTATATCTCCTTTTGGTCAATGTCCCTTAAGTTCTTCACCATTTCTCTCTTAACATGTATACAACTTGAATAAAAGGTGATGTGGGGTAAACATCATAGAAACAGCAGCCCAAAAGTCATCTAGAGGTAAACACAAAGACAGGTGTCTATAAAATAAAACCATTTTAGCTCTATAAATAGCCATCTTTAGTATAAACAAGAACTAACTGTCAGGTTTTTTTTTTCTTCTTTTTCCTTTCTTTTTTGGTGTGTGGGGAAGGGTTGGGTTGCACTGTCATGGACTAGAAGTTCCTTTATATTTGGTTCCAAAAGGAAATAAATGGGGAATGTGTCCATGGGACACAGATGATGCCCCCGCTTGCATATTACGTTATATAGGGACATAACTCAAGAACGGTAAAAGTCACACTACCCAAATTCGTACTTGATCTGAGTTTTGTGGTAATAAGCATTGTGTATAAGTTTCATAACATTTAGTTGAGGCAAATTTAAGTTAGAGAACTGAAACAAAAAAATCTGCAATTTTTCCATTTGTAAAGGGGCATAACTCTAGAACAGTACAAGTGAAACCACCAAAATTCAAACTTGATCTGTGTTTTGTAGTAATAAGCATTGTGTATAAGTTTCATAATATTTGGTTGAGGCAAACTTAAGTTAGAGAACGGAAATGAAAAATTCAGCAATTTTTCCCATTTGTAAATGATGCCCCTGCTTGCATATAACGTTATATAGGGACATAACTCAAGAACTGTAAAAGTGACATCACCCAAATTCAAACTTGATCTGTGTTTTGTGGCAATAAGCTTTGTGTATAAGTTTCATAACATTTGGTTGAGGGAAACTTAAGTTAGAGAACGGAAACAAAAAAATCAGCAATTTTTCCATTTGTAAAGGGGCATAACTCTAGAACGGTAAAAGTGACGCCACCCAAATTCAAAATTGATCTGTGTTTTGTGGTAATAAGCATTGTGTATAAGTTTCATAACATTTGGTTGAGGCAAACTAAAGTTACAGAACGGAAACCAATTTCGGGACGTACGTACAGACGGACGTACAGACGGACAAGGGTAAAACTAAATGCCCCATCCGCTACGGCGGGGGGGAATATAAATATTCTAGAATATTTTCACAGGGAGAAATATTACAGTATTTATTCCTGATGGAATAAACCCTTTAGGGTATATTTGTTTCTGATGGGATAAAGGGTATATTATATTTGTTTCTGATGGGATATAGGGTATATAATATTCGTTACAGATGGAATAAAGGGTATACAATATTTGTTCCAGTAGAAACAGATAATATAGTATTGTTTATAACAAACTTTCCAGTGAAACTTCTGTTAGAAGATACAAATATACCATGACAATACAAACCTTTTGTGCTTAAAGTACTTATAATAACTTTCCCTTGATGTAAGTGTTACTGCTGAAGATTGAGCTAAAACTAACAAAAAGTCAATGTAATGAATGAAAAATCTCAAGCACAAGAAAGATGATGCCAGACAATATGTGATAGGATAACATAATGCAAGACATGATGTGAAAGGATGACACAATGACAAACTTCATGTGATAGGACACTATGCCAGATTAGATGTGATAGGACAACACAATTAAAGAATTGATGATATGAATCCCACAATGCCTAACTAGATGTGATAGGATAATACAATGCCAGGCTACATGTGATAGGATGACACAATGTCAGACTAGATATGATAGGATAACACAATGTCATACTACCTTGTAGATGTGATAGGATGACACAATGCCACATCTGGTGTGACAGGAACTACATTTGATAGAATGACACAATGTCACACTACATGTGATATAATGACACAATGTCATTACTACATTGTAGACGTAAATTAAGATGACACAATGCCACACTTGGTGTGACAGGAAGACACAATGCAACACTTGATGTGACAAGAACTACATTTGACAAGGATGACACAATGCCACACTACATGTGATAGGATGACACTATGTCATACTAGATGGATGACACTATGTCATACTAGATGTGATATGATGATACAATGCCAGACTAGATGTAACAGGATACCACAAATGTCACTTCTTGCTGCAAAATTTGAAGGGCTGCTATTAAAATTGTGTCCTCTGGAAAGAAATGCAAATTTGATCTGCATCTGAATTTAAAAATCTACTCGTTATATACAGGCATTACTTGAAAAAGCCCAGACAAGTGTTCAATGATTTAGTTATGACATAAGGAAGGACATGATTCCTAATCCCGGGGACACCTCATGGTGAAGAGGGTGCATTAAAAGTCAACCCTGGATTTTTAATCCTGATTTCTCAATTACATTTTAAGCAAAGAGCCATAACACTTCAAACTTTCAAGAAGAAAGATATCAAAATATTTACATTGTTTTAAAATTCCACTAAATGTATACTTTTATTGCTGTAGAAGATTTTGAGTTCCTCGTTTATTACATACTTATCTCTCTAATTGTTTGTTTATTTGAAACCTAAGAGTAGTTAATGTTGTTCCTCCAATAAACTTTTAAGTTCTACTGTCAAAAGTTAAATTTAAACTTTTTTTGTTTTTGGAAATAGGTTTTCTGACATTAGCAAGGCTTTGTTATTAGACATCAAACTTTTAAGTCATGGTATCCTACATTTGTAAGAGTTCATACACATTGAAACAGACAGTTAGTAGGTACCTAAATATTCACCATTGACCTTCACCTTTGTTCAAAATCACACTAAATTATTTCCATAATGAAATGTGAAGGTTGTAAAAATTTAAGATTTATCCCTAAACTAATGAGCAATATTTAGATGGGCGAGACTAATAAGTGGACCAGGAGAAGCTTACCCTTCTGGAACACCTAATTTCAATCCCAGATTTTAATGGAGTTTAATTCAATCTTTAGTTTTTTGTTGACTTTTGTCTTTCCATCCTTTTTTTTTGGCCATTTTATACCCCAAATAAAAAGTGGTATTTCACAGTAATTCATTTTTTAAGGAAACAGGTAAAAGGATCGTCCTTTAATTTTTCTTTTGGTTTACGTAACACTTACTTATTCTATAACCCTATTCTATTGATTTAAACCTTATATTGACCTTTACATATCTCTATATATTTTGTGCCAAACGGTTGCTGTCTCATTGACAATTATAACCTTAATCTTCTTTTAGTTACACTATAATTATACATTAACAGTGTCTTATTTATAATCATATTCTGCAGTTTGAGAAGTGTCCTGCTGAAATATATGTCAATATATCAAATTTTGGCCTCAAGATTGACCAACATCCAAACACTGAACAATTCATAATGGGTTTCTCTTGATTTTTTTTTCTGTCGATTTTTTTTCACCATAGAAATTTCATCTGCCAATGTGA